ATAACAAACTTATGTAGTTACTTGAAAAGTATAATTAAAACATAATATAATGAATTTTATTTAATAATTCAAGACGGTTGAATTTTAAAACACATTCATAGTTATGGCTTGAATTTTATTGAGAAAATATTATAATTAATGTTAAACGAAATTATGCATTTATATAATATGTTTTCTTAGAACATACTGTCACAGTAATTTATAATATCAATATAAATTAAACATTAAATATAATACGTTAAACCATAATACTACCATTATACAAATAATGCGTTTTCAACATTAAGGGCGATAACCCTTCTTAGCAGTAAAACATCTCGTAAACAGTAAAATGCTACGACTTTGTTAAATCAAACTACATATACAATATATTTCCTTATTATTTGTATGATTTGAATATAGTTTTATATTATAATTATTGAATTATACAACGTATAAGGCATCGATTATACATACATATGTATATGGCAGAAAGTTATGTTATCCTTGCCTACCAGTAACGTATCTTTTGATATAACCTTACCGGGAGCTAGTTATTCATTGGAAAGCAAGCTTAGCAAGACATAGATTTATTGCCTATAATATATATAATGACATCTCATTTGTGTGTTGTTAAGTATTTATGAATATTTATTATAAATATATTTTGAATAGATTTTATATTTTTTTTATAATATTTTATTTTAACGCAGATGGCAAATATTTTGAATCTTATGACACTATTTAAAAAGAGACGAAAGATTCACTATCCAGCTGATTATATATATCTCTGTCAGATTATAATAGAAATTAAAAAAAGTTCAGTTTCTAAGAAATAAAAGTACCTACTGCTTGTCCCTAATATTTTGTTCATAAATAGAAGTTTCAATAGAAACTAATCTTAACGACTAATCATTCATACACAAAAACCTAGTTATCTTTTTAATCGTCATTGATAACGTTATCACCTTAACATTTCTGGGACAAATGATGTATTCTTTTAACCATGCCCTAAATATTCAATGCCCTTGAAATAAATTATAATAAACAATATTGAATAATAATTTACAAAAAAAAAATTAACTGCATTTTAGAATATTATTAGTGTTTTATAAAGTTTATCTTTGCTTTCTGTGATTTGTTCTTTAAATATCTTATATAAAATCGGTCTTCATATATCATTACGTGTAAGGAAATTACCATAAAATATAAATTCGAACAAGTTCTACCGCATTTGGCATACCGTAACTGTATCTCCTACCGTAAATCCTTATGCCAGCTGATTAGTGCATACTTAACATTTTTATAATTCGGGTTTTTTATCGCAAGCATATCATTATCTAATATCCTGGTCATATTCCACATTCTGACAAACAAAGTGACATTTAAATAATAAGGCGCCTTTTAGGAATATATTTTTTTATTATGCACAAAAATGGAACCAACAATAGACCATGTAACAGTCAGAAAGTTAACAAAAAGACAAAAGGGAAATACGTAACATCCCCAAATCAATTATCAAACAAAGGATGCGTTGTTCTAAGCTGGATGGAACTTAGTTAGTGTATGGTAATATTGTTTATTGTCATGTGACACAATAGAATACAATTACAATGCTTCTGGCTCTCAATAATGGGCTCTGACCCATTTGAACTACACACCTTCAACAACTGACCTCATTATACACTTCAGTTAATACTACAAATCATGTTTATCGTCAATATTAATTTTAAATTAAAAAAAAAAATTGAAAATAATTCTTTAATTCGTGGGAATAACGTAGTAAGAATTCATGTGTAACTGACAACATCTCGTGAGTTTATTTAATTAGCCTCGAATGTGTCGGTATCTGATAGAACGAGAGAAAGCAACTGAAAGTCAAGTCACCGCGGTGACCCGAGGTTGGCCAGTAACCTGAAACTTCCTTGTAGGACAAAACGATTTGTTATAAAACCTAAGATGAAGTTATACAACACTATCCAACGCAACTATTATAGGAACAACTCACACAAACCTTCCAATAGAAAGAATGACAGCTAACATGAAGACAATGCGACAGAAGTAAATATTTTAACATATTAAATAATATAATTATCATTTCAAAGACAGCGTGAATATCATTATACAATTGAAGAAAATAAAAAAAAAATCGTATAAGAACTGATAGATTAAAAGTATTTTATTTCCACAGTAAAACTATATCATATTTTCTATATGCACATGGAGATTAAGCGAAATAAAATGAACGTTTTAAATTGCATATCAAACAAATTCATCGGGACCACTGGCATACATTTTTTGCGCCAAAGCTGATACAGTTCAATGCGCTAATTATTTTAAATCGCCTTTCTCTTCGTTACAAAAGACGGAGTGTATTTTGTGCAGCAGTTTCAGACGTTCCATATCTAAGGCTTTTCAAAAGACGTCACAAGATGACCTCGAGAAATTGAAAAGCCTTTTCATCTTCATAGCTCTTTGTTCAATTTCTTTTTAATGTGTATTACTTGACACGTTCTGTTGTTTTTTTTTTATTCATCGCCGCTTCATAAAACAATACTATTGTTTAATAAATTCATTCACGGCTTTGATTACATGTTGACTATGATGTAACGACATCAGAATTTACAATGAAAATATTGAAACGTTATTGCGGTTTCATATGAAATAATTATTAAAATATTCACCGGTGAATATCCTTGAAACGACTACAAGGATGTCTCATATCATGTTACAAAATTTACACTATATTTTAGAGAAATTACAGCATGACGTAATAATTTGCATACTATTGAGATTGGCTGTAAATCATTTGTACATACATGACGAAAATATTGTTTATTTACTATATATGGTGTGAGAGAAAAAATACTAAAGTTTTAGAATTCTTATACGGTTATTATCACCAACATTACTTTATGGCTCAATACTTATAATATATCTAGTTGGTTATTTATAAACATAATTAATTTCAGGGATAAAAGAGTCGTTTAAATTTAAATCAAATTACGCTAACGTGATAATCGTCTCATTATTCTTTATTTTTTTGGCATTAACTTAATGTATTTTTAAATATTAAACCAAAAAGTCTTATATTTTGAATGCCTAAAACCTGATACCTTCTTAGTAATTGGCTGACGTTGTTCGAATCTAATTACTAGTGACCTAGAAAGTTGTCTAACACACAACATATGTATATGATGATTGTAAAGAAAATATTTACACATTTCTACTTAAACGAAGTGTAGTATAATGACGATAAAAAGCTGCCATCAGTCATGGCAATACCCTTTTATCAGCTTGATATTCAAATATGTAGCAATAAAATAAATGCATTGGAATTGACAATTAATTATTGGTGGTAAGCAAAAACTTATAGCTTATTAAGAGAAAATTATATACAATTAATTAATGTGTTAATTACTTAAATTATATAAATCATTAATATATAATACTTCTTGTAACACAAAGAGCGTTTCTATTTAGTATATGTAAACAGTATATCACGACTAGAAAATTACACAAAGAGAGAATAGTCATGTTTAAATTGCCGTGATACCTTCTCACGACTAGTCAAATAAGGTTTCGGTGGATTCTTAAAGCTAGGAGTATAGAGATCCGTTACTTACTATATATTCTTTAATAATAATAAAATTACTTTCGCTTAATTCGTCATTTTGTTTACTTTAGAAGAATAATACTATTTTTTTTTCATATAAGACATCAGACAACCTTGTCAAAAACTGTTTGTAGGCGAAGGTCCTACTTTTGCTTCCAAGAAATGTTACTAACGTAGAAAGTTGATTTAAAAAAATCCCAACTCTTAAATTTCGCAATACTACCAACTTTGTTATACCTCACTTTATTTTAGATTAATTTTCTTACGCTTCAAATAATTTAAATGTATATTGTTATACGAACAAACAAAAGAGTTAAAAAAATCTATTTCTATTATCGATTTATGTATAATGTAAAAATCGCTCAATAAATGAATAAATTAATACAATCGTATAACATTGAGTTCACACTGTTTTGCAAAAGTCAAACAATTCGGTAACCTCGACGTCGATAGGCGGGTTTATCGAACCATTCGGTAATCACGCCACTATTACGGTAATCGAGTAATAGCGCTGCAACACAGACTCCCAGCCGTCTCAGTAATACCGATTACCGACGAGTCTAGCCTTGGAACATGAAATGAATAAAGTAAGACCATCACAGGCTATAGACCTTTGTGTAATGTCTTTTTTCTATACTTAATACTAGTGTTATTTCTGAACGATTACATGTATGGGCTTGTTTGGAATAACTTACAATCATTTACATTGTCCATTTATAAACTATGGATGGTTTCGTGAAAACAATAATTATTACTATTTCTTGTATTTTGTACTTTGAATATACATTAATAATTTATAATGCCTCGCATAATCAGCACTTTTTTGCCTCACCCGTTTAAAATATTCATATGAAATGCAACAAGTTCCGATGAAATTAGCGAAATAAAAATTGGTTCTTTGGCATTATATTTGGTGAAGGTAGGTGAATTTTTTTACGGTTATATCTAAATATCTTAGGTCCCACGATCAAATTTTTTAACCTTCATTAAATAAAATATTTTTTATAGCAAACTATATTATTTACTTCTTCATTTTTTAAACTAATATTAAATTTAATTTATTGTAAGCAGTCTTAAACTATTTTATATGAATGACTACACATATATAATTTTAAACCTGTTAACTCATAGACAAATTGTAAACCTTGAAAACACGTTTGACGAATGTAAAAAAAAATATTCATTTAAAACAATTTTATTTATAAAATCCAACAAATTGAACTGATACCCACATATTATAAGAAAGCAAATTATAAATTAAAAAAAAATGGAATAAAAATTAAGAACTCACCGGAAAATGTTGTGCAAAATAAAAAAAATAATAAAAAGCGTAACAGTCGAAGTAAAAGGGAGTCCCAGAAGAGATATATCACAAATCTTCTCACTGACGCACTGTCACTTTTCAATGGGTGCACAGCCGGCTTTTTTATTCTGTGGGCATCACGCCACGTTGTTGCGGCTCCGGCCAGAACGGCGTGGTGTCAGGTCGGTGGTTGGAAACGGACTGACTGCTGGCCGACCGTCGAGCGGCAGCGGCAGCTGTGTAGACCATGATACCCTCTACCCGCTACCCGCTCCGCTACCACATCTTGACAAAACATTAGAAGACACAATAAAATAGGCTTTATGACAAATCTATACAATTATTCCCTAATATTAAGAACTCATTTGTTTGTAACAAAAATGATGTTTGTTCTTCTCCGTAATTAGCATTCTGGGAAAAGTTAAATTAACGCCAAACCATTAGAATTTAACACAAAAGCGTTTTATAATTATATTGCTCGTAAGATTAAATTGTTTATAATCCGTGTGAAAAATATGAAAGTAAAATAATCTTGTTTTATGTAGGATATCTACTTAAACCAGTTGCCGCCCCTGAACACTGTAGTATATTGTGACCCAAAATCTGTTGATACATATTAACTACAAACGCTATTAAACGAGATACCGGTTCGCGATTCAAACTCCTCGTCGTACGACAATCGTACCACCTCTATTCAAGTTACTCATTTTGTTCAGCTTCTTTTTTTACAAGAATATTTCGTAAAGCTATTATAAAATAACAAAGATTACTAGCTAGTTACTCAATCTGAGATAATTGTATCGCATTATCATTATTTCGGAACTTTATTTCTTTAATTAAATAATTGTTCGGTTTTATTTGATAGTAATGCAAATTTTAATATTTCATTACATTACATTATCTTATTATAATAAAGATAAAATTAATAAACAAATATTTTTTGTAGTATTCTTCAATTATGTAAATGTTTTAAATCTTAATAAGTTGAGGTTTTAATGGTTCAGCAAAACGCGTTAATTGTGAGAATCACATATAGCACTAAGAAACAGAGAGCCGGTCATGTTTCGTCGACTATGTGCTCTCGAATTTCACTTCGATGTTTAAAATAAAAAGTGAGTAATGAATTTACCTGAGCATACTAAGTGTTCTACAATTGTGTTGATGTCAAATATAAAAGTTATTGTTTGATATCTCAACAAAAGCATAGGTCATGGGTTATTTCTAAATAGTACAGAAAGCATACGTATGACCCAGTTTATTTTTTTTTGTGTATAAACAAACATTAATTGGCGTTTTATTTTCATACTTATTGAAACCGAGTAATTAATATTTTTTATAAAAGTCAAAGAAGCGACATCTTTTACAATAATCGCCTTTTAAGCAAAATGCAATGCTTTTAAAACTAACAAAGAAATTTAGGAAGGAATTTAGAAACTACGATTACGTTCATGGTCCTGATAAGCCTTATCGTAGAAAAGCTTTTATCTAAAAGTTCGATGACACATTTTTTGACCAATTAAAAGTTTGGCATATGCATAAAAAAATTGGGATAAGATAAATAATGATCTGACGGCTATTTAAATTTCATTTCATGAAATGTAATGATAGAGATAAAAGTTATATTTTAATAAATTGACAATCAAATATTGTTTATGCCTCCATCCTGTATCAAAGATACTAAAAAAGACATTCAGATGGCACTAGAACATAATAGTCAGCCAGCAAAAGCCTTGACAAGGTCTGAAATTATAGTCTTCATTGACCTTGAAGATTTTTTTTGATTTTTTATCCAGTCCGACGACTTTAAAGAATACGCAAACAACCATTTAATTGTGAACATTGCTATTTAGGCATTTTTATCCTCTTAAAATTAATTCTTACCAATTATAATGGATATTGTGGTAATAACAAAGATTTTTCAAATAAACTTTCGTAGAAGTTAATTTTAGACGACATTTCTATTTGTAACATTTTCTTTCACAACATGAATTAACTTTAGCAAAAATGCACTTAACATTCTTTTCTAAAATTCCAAGATGGATGAAGAAGAATACATTTAAATCCTTAACATAAATGTAACATTCAGGTATCATGGGTCTTCACAAAGATATTTTACATTAGTAGAATTAATGTTGCCATAAATTGTCCTTTAGGAATTCCTCTCACTAATTACGTGTAATAGATGTCCAAGGAAAGTTAACGTAACCTGAGTAATACAAAACAAAACAATAAATACTTATACGTGTAGTTGTATAACTAAGACAATCCAACGTATTTGCAAGACAATAAAAGTAGATGGAAACGGCTGATCTATTAAATGCTACCGTAGAAAATGTCGGCCTACTTCGCTAATTGAGATCGCTGAGGTGCAGTCGTAGTAAGTATGGGCTTCTATGATAAATTATTTGCTAGCAGTAGTTAACGGCAAATAAATTACTTATAAAGTAAACGAATACAGTAAAAGTATCTTAACAACATAAATACGTTAGTAAATTTATGTTTAATTCTTCATATTAAAAACGTTATGAAAATCAAAAAGTATGGAATTAAAAATCATATACTGAGAGTCTTTGTTGAAAAGATTTTATTCTATGATTTTTAATACTGAAGCCAGTGTTAGTTTAGTTGACACGAATTTCATTTGTCTTGATTCGAAGAATAACACTTGAAAGGGAAATGAACGATTTTGTACAGCTCTTGAGCTTGAGGATGTCTCAAATTCAACCTTCACACAGGCAAATTTAAGGTGACATCCAAACGAATAACGATTATATAATCCCCACACTTGTAATGTTTCTTTGCAAATAATATTAATTATATCGTATATATACATTCGATGTACAAATAAATACATTTTTATCTCAATAAAATATTAATTTAATAATTCAAACATTAGATTTATTTCTGTACCGACTTTCTATGTTATAAAAACATCGACAGTGTTTACTTGCAATTAAATGATTTCACACAGAACGCATACATACATCCATATAAATAAGTTTGAAGTGTATGTTTGTGATTTCATAATAACTATGTTTTTCCAATACTTGTGGCTTACATGATAAGGAGAGATATATATTTTATAACTAAAATTTGGTCTGTTCGTACGAAAAAACTCCATTTAAAATCAAAACTTAGTTTTTTCGTATCTTAACAGATAATTTAAACCTATGAATAAAAATTAAAAATTTTACATATCATGTAACAAAGATTCAGTTTGTAATAAATATTGTCCAGTTTCTAATATAATGTCGATTTGAAATAACCAATCACTATCACAAACGAAACCGTAGGAAAAAGCTAGATAATTATCAATGTTTAAACATGTATTTATAACAGTCGTATTAAATATATATATAATAAATGTCATCATGTTTATCTTTTTTATTTACTGGATATAATTATATTACTATCGATACGACCCTTTTGTTTGCGATGTTGTCAAGAATACGTTGTCAAGTGTTAAGAATATTTTCTTTCTGACATCGACAAGATATTCATTCTTCGAGCAGAATAGTTTTAGACCCTCTTAACACATATCGATGGATACTTGACCCATCTCTCAAGGTTGTAGATGGACAACCGTCTTATAAAAAAATCACACTTAAAAATCATTTTGCCGGAAACATTGAGAACTTGATTAAGAATAAATTAATAATAAGTAATGTTAATAGCATAATCTACAATGTTGTTTCTATTGTTCCTATCTTAATCACCTCTATAAGATGAAGCGTCAGTAATTAAGTGGATTACATAATACATTTAACATAAAATACCAGTTATAACCTGATTCACATAAAAAAATGAAGACGATAAACGTCATTGTAATAGATTTGTTTTCTGTCATTTAAAACACGATCATAAACAGATACCCAATGTGATTTTTTTTATGAAATACTAGAAGACCTGGCGAACTTCGTATCGCCCTATAATCAAGAAATATCTATTACGTTTCTTTATTTATATTTTTGGAGTTTACCTGTAAGCCATAAATCTCCGTGTTTTGAAGTGCGACAGAATTATTGACATATTAGTTAGTTGTCAAATCTAATGTCAAAGAGAACGTTTGTATGGGAAATAGAAAAGGGTTGTTTTTATGGTTTTCCCAGTAATAAATCAATTTTTTTCAGCTTTTATACCTTCCCTGAACCTCCACGAACATTTCAAGACTAAGATAAGATAAATCCGTTCAGCTGTTCTCGAGTTTTAGCGAGACTAAGGAACTGCAATCCATTTTTATATATATAGAAGATATATAGAAGACTTATATGTAACACAATTCCATCCTTAGTGATGCAACTTGCGTGTATCCGAGTTTTGAAACTAGTATGTGAGCCGTGAAAAATTTTTGCGTAATTCAATACAACTTTATTATTTTACTTCCTTATTACGACCTAGATGCAATTTCAAGTGCACAAAACCGGCTGGAATATTTGCGTTAGGATCTAGAACGGTTCGCCCACATCGGGAAAGATATACCTATTGTTAAAATACTTACTATATGGTTATCTTATAAAAGCTGTGATATTATTTTAAAATCTTTATTCTGTCTCAGGTTCAACTACGTTTTAAACTTTTTGTACAGCCATAGAAGTACACAAAATATTAAAATTAGCTTATAACTGAGAAAAGACCTATTTATATTTCAAAATATGACATTTTTAAAGCTGAAATAGATCTTGTTAGGTCCATAGATCAAAAAATTGTACACATAAGGCCAGTTAAAATATTCAATCTTTGAATACTTATTTGTTACTTTACAAACAGACTTATTTTATTTGTTTTTAGGATATAAATGTTTAACGTTTTAATCACAGTTCTAAACTCTAAAGTATAGTGGACACTGCTCTACTGACTCTACATTTCGCTCGCGTAGTGCAGACGCCCGCTCTAAAACTGGTTACAAGACGTCGAATCATTGACTGCTATTCCATAGTAGTAATTAAACCACACTAATTAACGTCTATAAAATGTATGAAAAATACAGAAAAAGTTATGGAAGCAAATTAAATTTTTAAATTTATATGATTTATAAGAAATCATTATCGATTTTTCCGCTGAGTTTCGAACGTAAGGCTTTTTAATGAAATGTGTTCGTAAGTTTCAACGTATATTTCGACTGGGAGCGTGGCGTCTCCTGTAATCCGGCTACTCGGAGGTCGGGGTTGGAGGATGGTTTGAGGCCGGGAGTCCTGGTGCTGAGATGTCCATGTTGACTGGACGTCCACACTAAGCTTGGTATTAATATGGACCCCCCGGAGGAGTCTGGGGGGTGCAGGTTAACTAAGGAGGGGCGAACCGGGCCAGGGGGGAAACCC